AACAGGAAGTTGRGCAACACCTGTTCCTTGGCATGAGAGGGACTGACTGACCAGCTGTGTTTCAGTGTCACCAGAAAAAGTGTTTCTTCCAGCCAGGAAGACAACACAACATGTTCCTCGCTGTTTGGCCTTTTTTTTTTTTTTCTACTGAAAGCGTCTATTGTTCGATGAAGTTTCCTTTTGAAACAAATTTTGCCTGCTGTACAACAAAAACAAACAAACAAACAACAAACAATAGACTGTAAAGGGGTTGAGAAACATACCAAAATGACTGCATAATATTTTAGTAAATTGTTCTGTGTAACGTTCAAAGTTCATAAAAATGGCTGCCGGTCACTAAAAACACAGCTACAAGTGTTTCAGTTCAACACATTGTCTAAGCTGTACTTAAAGATGCTTAAAATTCTGCTTGTAAGTCATTCATAACTAYAAAAATATGCATTTGCTGCAAAAGTGCATTGGAATTTTGAGTGTAGATCAACTTTACTATGTTTGTTGAAAAAGCTAAAACTCCAAAGGTAAAACAAGCAGAGCAAAAGCTAAAATCAACAAAACTGTCATCAAACTAAAATGAGCAAAACTGTACCTAGTGGTTATTTCACAACGATTTCCAACAAATGTTAAAATTAGGAAAACTAACAGGTAAAATGAGCAAAGTTGTCGCTTAGAATTAAAGGCAGTACAACAGTAGCTAAAAGTAGTGACAAAACTGTAACTAAAAGATGAATGAGCATATTTGAAGCTAAAATTGACAAAATTATAGTTAAAATCTAAAATTAGCATAGCTAAATGCGAAGTTTAGCAAACCAAATCCTTAAAAGCTAAATTGACTCAAAATACTGAATCAGCAATCACACAAATCAAAAGAATAAATTGTTAAATAACATTTCTCACTTATGTTTCATGTGAGAGTGAAGAAAATTCTTCTTTTGTAAAATTCAAGTGCTTAACGTATGCTCCAGAAATTAACTGCATCACATAAATATTACTATAAATATGATGTAAAACTAATATAAATTCAGCACTAAAAGTGAGGAAATTTGTGRTTAGTAGATTTAGTATATTTCCCTTTTAAATGGTGCCACATTTGTAAGGAACATGCATTTGTGAGATGAGCAGTAGAGCTGAGTATGTGGGATGTGCACATGAAAAAATTGTCAAATCGTCTCCACCAAGCAGTTTATTTTTCTCAGAATCAGAATCAGCTTTATTGCCATTGTCAGTGATAAACACAGACTAGGAACTTGCAGTTTAGAACATCCGTTCGGAGAAAGACACACATAACAAACATGGGGGAACGAATGTCCAAGGTCTTTCTTACTACGYTGCGCTACCTTTTGCAGCTTGGAATACACACAATAAATTACTGCTTACACTTGTTTTGAGCTTCTGGTTTATTGCTAAGAAGCATTGTTAGAACAAAGAAATTATCTACCAAACACTAACTAACTCCTTACATTTTGTGCTAGTTATATTATACTTGTGTTCTGTTTGACTCACTGACACTGATGAACAACACGAGTTTCTCTCATATCTGTTGTTTTTTTGACAACAATTTTTACTTTTAATTTCTGTTTTGTCACCAGAACTTCTTGGGAACAACTATCAGCTGCTTAGTTAAGGAGCTCAGATTATATTAAAAAAACATTTTTAAACTGTTAAATTTTAAAGCACCTTGATTCTTTGACTCAGTCGTCTTTGAACTCTCAGATGATTTTCATTGTTTTTTTTATGTCGTCAAGCCTCTACACACTCCCATACATGCACGCGCGCACACACACACACACACACACACACACACACACACAC